TGTCAGGGAGTCATCACAGTCACTTCAGTCACCATCCAGGATAATTACCCGATCACAGTCACCTGAGTTCTGATCACCCGCACCTGCTGTCACCAATCAAGCCACACTACAAATACACACACAGCACAGCCACTCACTGTCCGGTCTACCGTTCACTCCTACGAACTACTCTGGACTCCCTCTGCCCAAAATCTCCTAGAACGAATTACCTGCTGTTCCTCCCACGATCCTCCAATGACTCCGTGGAAACGGCTCCACGATCTCCAACGTAACCGGCATACGATCCTCTCCATCAGAACTCAGATAAGCACCCTGGAACCATTCACTGTGTTGACATTCACCTGCCTTTAACTCACCTATTCCAGTCATCCACTTACCAAGTCAATAAAACCATCCTGTTTTGCACTTATCTGTTGTGTCTGGCCTTGCTTTGTGACAATAATAGGCCTGTGTGTGTATCCCTTATTCTGTCCCTTATTTTTCTATATGAAAAACCACGATTGTCCCTTATTTTCCTTTTCTGAAGTTGGCAACCAAACTCCCCTTCACGCCCCGTGGTGGCGTGTAAAGATCGCAGTCATCCAAATGATGAAAAATTATTACCGTAAACAATGTTGCGACACCACGAAATAAACGATAGAGCATAATATGAAACGATAGACTTTTTATTTCATCCATCCGATATGTATCATCATATCGCACAGCCCTAAGTGAGTGCAATCTAAAAGCAACTCTATGGCCAATCTGCACACTTCTCCCCTTTAACAACCAAACCAAACCAAACACCACCCAGCATTTCCACTCAGCCTCAGAGAACAAAATATAATCACACAAGCTGATAAAAATCCAATCTTTTCCAAACTCCCACCCCCAGCTGTAAAAGCTCGTTCTTGGACATTCTTGGAGAGTAGGTTTAAAACAGCTTTACTATCACGTTGTGTAAGAAAACCTGAGCCGCATGATGAAATCAGTCAGAAAGGTTACACCGCAACAGAGAACCCCTCATTTCATTTTCCCAGGCTTTTACCAACACGCCGCACACGCACTTCTTTCTGTGGAGTGCGGAGCGCCTGTTGACTGATGACCCCCATGAGGGCCACTCATGTAGTGCATAAAAGCACAGGGGCCCCCTAATGGGCCTGAGCAGCTCTTCTCAGGGACAGCCATCATTGACAAAATTATACAAGTTTAAAGTGGACAACTGCCAACCAAACAGAAACTAAAGGAACTATCGTTCAGCATTAGTGGAGTTTAACCATTTTAAAATAGTAGAAGTAATTACAGTCAAATCTGAAATTAGACATCACTGCTAATCTCACAGCAAACATGATGCATGCAACATTACCAAACCAACCAATGTGCATCAAATATACAAACACAAAAACACCAAGCAACTTGTAATGCATTTTGTCTAAATCACAGTAAATCGACCCCGCACTGAACCCAAAAGTTCTCTGATAATAGGCATGTTATGATGAGTAGGGATTTAGAATACTAAATTACATAAAATGATCATTTACAAAATAACATTCACTGGAATTTCATAATCTCACAAGATTTATGCAGTTAAGCCAGGATAGGACAGCATTAAAAAAATAAAGCACAAACCAAAACTAATGTTGCAACTAAATGAAAACTCGGTGCATTTGTTCTTACGCACCATTTGTAATGGAACATGCTGGACGTCACCGGTGTCTCAAATCTCACAGGCACGTGCAGCATTTTTGGACTTTATAGGTGTGTTCTGTGTCAGCTGAATTGGTGCTTTTGAATACTACATATGCATATGATGCCCAAAAATGCTGTCTAATAGGTCCACTGCACTTACACAGTGATGAAATGAATTTAAAGGAACAGTTCACCCAAAATTTTAAATTCTTGCATTTACTCATGTTGTTCCATGACTTTTGTTCCTCTGTGGAAATATAGGCTGTCATACAGGCTAATATTCTGCCTAACGTCTCCTTTTGTTTTCCACAGAAGAAAGAAAGTCATGGGAGTTTGAAGCAACAAGAGGGTTTAACATGAATCATTGATAACTGTCCTTTTAATCACTTAAATGCAACCACAAAACTAAATCAATATCGACCATGTGCTGTCCACTTCAGTGAGTCAATGAAAACTGCAGAATATAATTTGAGATCAATTAAAACATATTGCTTTAGATTTGGTCACAAATCTAAAGACAGAATAAAAGCTTAAAATAGCAATAAAAAACTAAAACTTGAACTTCAACATCATGCATTAATTATTGAACATCCGCTTAAAAGGTAAAGAACTGTCACATTAAGTATTACATGTGCACAACCAGTCTGAAATAATGATTCTGCAGATTCAAGATGCCGACAATGACCACGCCAAATGCAACGTTATCTACAAATATACCTGTAAAAAGGGACATAATGTTCTGGATGGTCCCAGTTGAGCATCCTTGACTTAAGACGGGGAGACGCATCCGCACGCGCTGATGTTAAGCATTTTCCCCATCACATTAAACATCTGGAATGCAAGCTTGCTGGAATTCACCAAGTTACACTTATACAGAATAGATGTTTACATGTTCGGATTTGCACATATATCTAATTTCGTTCCGTTAATTAAGTTTAAAGAGTGCTTACTCACCTTACAGGTCGTACACAGATGCAGTCAGTCTCGCGTCCTGCCCGAGCTCAACTCAACCCGGGAGAAATCTTGACCACACATTCCCAAATTTCCACCAGCGCCGCAGCCAATACATGAAGATCTCGCGATAGCGAAGATCTCTGTACATACAGTTCTCGCGATAACGGGGTTCCCCTCATATTGGGGACCGATTTGCTACCATCTGCTGGAGCTAGTTGGTACTGTACGTCAGAATGCCATTACGTAACCGGTTTTGGTTTTGTGTAGAGAGGCGTGAATTCTGAATAAAGCATCTTAGTGTGTTCGCAGTCTAACATTGTGTAATTTTACAAAACATTGTGTAACGTTGTACAATCTAACATTGTATAATAATCACACAAAAAGAGTGGCTGATGGTCTATAACTGGCACTTTCCACGAACTGAGTAGAAGTAGGTCTTAAAGTGGAAGTGAAGCAGTCAGGCAAGTTTGCATTATTTAGTAAAGTGATTTCCAGTTTAATTAAAAAATATATAACAAACAAGATTAATGTAACCATTTTAAAGAAAAAGGGATGTTTTGTTATAGCTTTTGGAGCAAGGGCACTGCCGTCTTGCAGTACCACAGTGTATGACGTCACGGGGTGGTTCGTTCCGTTGGCCAGTGCAGTAATATAAGCATTTCTTTACTTTTTGAACACATAAATGTTATTTTAACACATCAATAGTTTGGTTTTCACCATAATCTGGATCAGTGTTTCTCAACCCTGGTCCTGGGCACCCCCCAGCACTGCACATTTTGTGTGTCTCCCTAATCAAACACACCTGATTCAACTCATTAGCTCATTAAAAGAAACTCCAGGACCTGAAATGGGTGTCATATAAGGGAGACATACAAAATGTGCAGTGCTGGGGGGCGCCCAGGACCAGGGTTAAGAAATACTGATCTGGATGAATATTCAACATAAATATCTATATCAATATCTATATCACATCATCTAGGTCTAGGTCTAGATCTAGGACCTGTTTATTATCAAATACAATTATTGTTGTCATTCCAAAAACATTGTTGCACATTTAGACTAAATTAAGCTATCCCTTAGTATTTCCATTTAAAATGAGCAACTTTTCATGCTTTGGTAATTTTATGTTAGATAAAATGTATTTAATATATATGTATTTTTTTAATGTATTATTTGTTTTTTGTTTGTTTGTTTGAGTAATGTAACATCATTTGAACTCTATTTGTGGAAAATTTCAGCTCTTAAGAATGTGAGGATCAGCAGCTGAACAAAGATGAAAAATATTATTAATAAAGTACACAGACAGATATATAAGAAACCAGACCATATTCTGTTTAGGGATAAATGTTTATTTTAGTGCTAGATCATTTTTGCTTATTATTTAGTGTATATATGTTTATCATAAATATCAGTGCAGTCAATTAGGCATAATGTGTCTGGTAACAAATGAACCAGCTAATCACAACATGCAGTGATAGGTTTCCAAAGTAAACAGCACACAAAACAATGGGAGAAAAGGCAAAGATGATTCCATTCTCTTGCAAATATGAATCAGTCATATTTTTTTGGGTGTGAGTGCATAAGGTCCCTGTTTGCTGATTTGTGTATGTGCTTACACATGTGTACTTGGCCTTCACGTTAGAGCATGTATGTTGTTTTTTGTGTATATTTTTACATGTCTGTGTTGTTCACATATGATGGGCAGGTTTCTTAAAGGTCGTCAGTCTCTCCATCAAAGGGGATGTTTTCCAGCTCCATGTGGATGTGGCTGTGCTCCTCATTGCACATCCAGCCGATCGGAGTGCGGTTGAAAGAAGGCCGACAGCAAAGGTTATTCTGCAACACAGACATTTGCTGGGGCTCCTCATCGGCCACCTTGATCTCTGGGGGCTCAAAGGTGACAAGACGAGAGGCCTTCTCAAATCCTCCAAAAGGTAGAGCCATTCTTTTGGACGCAAAGAACAAGAAGTTGATCAGGTAAAGCGTGACTGAGTAGCTTCTGTGTAAAATGAGTTTCTTTTTTACTCATAAGTTGGGATTTTGAAAAAATGATATTAGTACCTGTTGAAACTCTTGTACTTGGGAAGTTCCTTGTGAACTTGAGGCCCCGGCATTTTCAACTTCATGGTTTCTTTAAGTTCCTCATCATCTTTCATAGCACGTTCCCATGGGGATACATATGTTTTAACATACTCACGTTGTCTCTTTTCCTTCTCTGCCTCAGCATTTACTTCCTCTACCATAGAAGAACAGAAAAACAAAAATCTAAATATTAGTTGCGAAACATTAATTCCATGGATGCTTTGCCTGCTGTAATAAATATTACATGTTGCATCAACTCGTCTAAGGTGAGATTTACCTTGAGGTGGCTCTGGTTTGGGAGATGGTTCAGGAGAAGTGGCCATTTCACATCCCAGAGAAGGAGCCAGGTTCTGGAGGTTTAGCTACAAAGGCATGAGGAACAAAAAGAAGATCATTCTGTTATACTGTATACTGTTCATTTAACATTGCTTTAACTTGAGAAGTATGTAATGATATGTGATATTCTCATATAACAAAATCATTTCTCACAACTTAAATTAATACTTCACTTGCTTATATGATAAGCAGCCATGCAATAAGTAGTATAATGGTGTTCATTATTGCAAAACAAATCCTTTTAGCTTTATAAAAGACCCTTTAGCTGCGTGTCGGGGTCTTGATTCCACCATCAGATTTTATTTTGTGATCCTGATATCATGGAATCACACTATAAACCTGTATTTCCTATCAAAGCTTTTGCTTTTCTCATGCCTCTTTTGCTGACCAGGTTCTCGTCACTGATGATGAATTTCTCCACCCTCTGCTGTCTCATCTTGAACATTTTGGAGCCCTTGTTCTTCATGAGGGACAGCTCCTCCAACATCACATCTTTAGGGGCTTTGATTTTGGTCCCCAAGTCCAGTTCAGCGGCTTCAGCATCCTCATCTTGCTGGTCTGGTCAAGATAAGTGTTGTTGGAAAGGGAAAAGGAAAATTCAGTGAGAATCAACACAATGTCCCTTTAAAGTCATTAAACTGATTTAGAAATGTAGATGGAATTGACAGCACTAAACATTTCCTAGTGTCTAAAAGAAGCATGAAAACATGTTTTTTACTGTGAAAAAAGGGGTTTTATCTATTATATAGGACAGAAGCCCTGCCCTCTTTCAGTTTAGTTATATTCCTTCTCAACTTTAATATCAGCTATTAAACCTGGAGTCAAGCCACATCCGACACCAAAGAGAAGGATACTGTGCTGAGCACTGCTTGCATTACCTTGTTAATCAGATCCTTGGCTCAGCTTCAGCAGTACGTGTGTGTGTGTGTGTGTGTGTGTGAGAGTGAGTGAACTTTGGGAATTGCAAAAAAATTAAGAATCTTATTTGTAAGTTATACAGAGCAAATTGAGGACCATGGTTAAGCTTTGACAGCTGTGCAAATATTCAGACCAACAGCGACCTTGCTTTCAAGCAAATAGCTCAATAAACAAATACTAAATATTGAGTAGCATACATCTTAGACACACTATTGTTAGTTACTTTCTTTGTGTATTTTTGCTCCACCATTGAAAAAAGTTCCAACTAGAGTCCAAGAAAAATCTACTTATATGTGTCACAGAGCAACACAATAATGAATGAATGAGTGTGTTTGAACAAATTGGTTGAATAAATGATTCAATGACTCACTCATAAAGACAGTGACTGCATCTGAGATGGTACTACTTTTAAATAAGTAATTTCTTTGTGACCGTTAAAAGGTATGTAGTATGAATGTGTATAGAATGAATGTGTTCCAGATGTACTACATCCACCATTGTCATGTGACCTACAGTGTCAGTTAGTTGCGTTATAGTTCAGTGTTATAGTTGTGTCACTTCACTGCCATTCACTACTCCTCTCCCTTGGCATCATAGCCTATAGGATAGTAAAGTGTCCATTGGATGCACATTTCAGAATCTCGCTGGAAGTAGTATGTCATCTGGGTTTTCTCCTTTTACTACAAATTTGGACATTCTACTCTTTTTACACACTGTTTTTTTCTGAATATGCATATTCAGATGCGGCCTATAAATCCTGACATACTACTCTTTTCACAAATTGTATTTCACCTAGTATAGAGTACAGAAGTATGCATGTTTGGACACAGGAAGTCACAGTGTTTTAACTCAGTTGAATTAATGATTCAATGACTCACTCATAAAACTTGTCGCCACCTGGTGGCATATTGATGTAACCTGTAGAAAGAGTCACTGCAAATCCACCAAAACAACAGTCAAACAAACAACAGTCTGTCTAGGATGCACAAACATGGATGGTGGATACAAACAATAAAAATCAAATTTGAAGACTAAATCTAAGTGTTTGTATAAACAGTTTTAACACATTATGAAAAACACTGTATATTTGTCTCAATATGTGTGTGCGTGACAATCTGCTGAAACAGACTGAAGTGAAATTATTTGAAATTAAGCGGCTTGAAATCTCTGCTGAACAGCTCTTCATATTGGCAATAATTTTGCTGTTAATTTATTTGGCTCTGAAACGCTAACCGCAAGAATGTTGTTCTGTAAACAAACTGCCCATTATGAGCACACTGCCAAGCAGATGAAGTGTGAGAATCTAGTACACTAAACATGCCTTCACACACAGACAAATGAATACACGGCACCTAATAACTGAGCTGCTCATTAGAGGAGAGCTGTGAAGTCACACAGTTTGACAATGTTTTTGAGATTTAGCTCTATTTAGCAGAATAATTGGCCAGCTACATTACTGCATAGGCTAACCACTCATTACACTGGTCTTCATATGACTTTCTTATTTTTATTTTATACTAGAGTTATTTTTCTATCAAAGCGGGGATGAGTAATTGCATCGCAACAGCTCCTCAAACTGTGGGAATTGATAGCCCATGACTCCAACACAAACAAGAACATTATAACATGCTGGTCTAGTTCAAATGTGAAATTTCACTGAATCTAATGACAGCATTATAAAACAATTCAAACAAAAGTGAGACCCAGCCACTCATTAAAGTCGGTTGCAATATAGCTGTGCGCAGTGTTGGGGAAAGTTACTTTTAAAAGTAATGCATTACAATATTGCGTTACTCCATAAAAAAGTAACTAATTACGTTACTTAGTTACTTTTTATGGAAAGTAATGCATTACGTTACTTTTGCGTTACTTTTTAAATCTGGACAGGGCTTGCTTGTTTGTTTTTAAAATAAAAAAGTTATATTTTTGGCAAATATAAAAGCCTTTTCACACCAAAAGTGAAATGAATAAGCCTCAGGCTGAAGGGAAAGTAAATTTACGTCCGTACAGTAGAATGCAGAAGAAGAAATTTCAACACACTTTAGCAATAAAAAAAGACACACAAATGTTTGCTTATTAGTATGGTTGAACTGGATCATCGAAGGTCAGAAGCAAAGACATTGGTTAATAGAATGCGGGATTAAATACATAAAGGATATTTGTGTTGTTTAACATTTAATTATTGCAGGTTTGCGTCATATTCTGAGTTGCATTATTTTTATTCATTTTGAGAAATACTGAATCTGTGTTTTTTGTGTGTGTGAGTCAGATAAATTAATGCAAATTCATATTGATTTTAGAACTACAGTAACATCTTCTGATTTCTCTCAACATGGGGACAGGAGAGCTGTCAATCAATAACTTGGGAAAAAAAGTAACTCAGATATTCTCTTGTAAATTAAAAAGTAATGCGTTACTTTACTAGTTACTTGAAAAAAGGTAATCTGATTATGTAACTTGCGTTACTTGTAATTGCTTCAACATACAGTACCAATAAATTAAGTGTTCTTCAGTGAGGATTTACGCTTTGAGGAGAGCCTGGAGGTTGTTTGACATTTCAGGCTCTGACTCTTTATGTTGACTATGTTGACAAATGAGGGTTTTGGTAATTAAGTGTGACATTTACAACATTCATCTGGTCATTACAGGATATACAGGATAT